CGGCTGGGAAGGAGCTTCTCTTCCTGCTCCATCTCCTGACCCCTGTGGGGGAAGCTTGCCCAGGGAGGGTGGCAAGTTGTGGGGCATTCCTCTGCCAGGGTCCCAAGGCTACCTACTCTCCCCTCCCTTCTTCTTTCCCTCCCTCCCTCCTTCTCTCTCTCTCTCTCTCCCCCACTTCCTCATTCCTTGCAGAATTGGCCCCTGATCCACCTGTGGGTCGTCTCTTGCCCGGCGGGATGGGATGGGGGAGCAGCAGCAGCAGTGGGGGGGGGGGCTTCCAACCCCTCCCCCTCAAACAGGCCTCAGCAGCCTCTGAAGACATGTATCAGCCAGCAACCAAGGTGAGAAACATGGGGAGGGGGAGGCATGGACCCCCCCCATCTCCCTTTCTCCATTGCTCCCCCTTTCTCCACCCGGCTGGGACAAGGCAGAGAAGGGCGTAAGCAGAGGGGAGCGAAGGGGGAGCCGCAAAGTGTCTGAGCCGGAGCAGTGGAGGGGACGGTGGCAGTGATCCTTGGAGCTGGGCCCCTCTACACACGCACGCACACACACACACTCCCACGCACACACTCACGCGCACACGCTGGGTTCAGGCCTTTTTGGGTGGGGGGGCCAGTTTGATGATCTCCTCCTCGGAGGGCTGCCGAATGATGTCTGTGGAGAGAGGGGGGCAGCGGTCAGAAGAGCCGGGGGGGCTGGAGGAGAAGGAATCCCCCCCCCAAACGCCCCTAGCAGAGAGGGCCGGCCCTCCAAGGCAGGGGGGGGAGGGGGGGCTCCTGACCTTTGTACTTTTTGGCGCTGGGGATGCGGGTCAGTTTGGTGTCCACCTCGTCCTCCTCCGAGATCTTCAGCACTTGTGTGCGGTACTCCACCACTCTGGTCAGCAGGTCCGGCCGGCGGGAGATCTCAAAGATGTGCTCGATGTAGGAGAGGTTGTCTGCACGGAGGAGGAGGGGGAGACGGGCACAATCAGGGCAGGGGCACCGGCCGGGGGGTGGGGGTGGCACAGAGCCCGGGTGGGTCGCGCTGGGCAACAGCAAGCGACAGGCTGCCTGCGCGGCCGTCTCCAGGCGGTGCCTCTGCTGGCAAGTCAGGTGACCGGGGTGGGCGAGTGGGTGTTGCGTGGCGGGCTGCGTGTGAGGCTGCCTGTGGCGCTGTCGCGTGGGTGGCCACACCGCTGGTTCAGAGGCAGGGGAGGGCGGGCGAGCGAGCGAGCGAGCGGGTGGGCGACGTGCAAAGTCTTGCAAAGGCATCCAGGAGAGGAGAGGAGAGGAGGGAGGCGAGAAAACAGCTTTTGCTTCAAAAACAAATGACATCACTTGGCACCATCTGCCCCTGCCCCTCCCCTCCTGGTGGGCAGGCAGGGGCAGAGAGCTTCTCAGCCTCCTAGTCCCAGGGCTGCTCTGGCGGCTCAGCGGGCGCCCTGCTTCCCCTCTGCCAATTTCCCCAAGCGCCTCGCCCAGCGCCTGCATTTAAATCACTCGCTGGCACTCTCGGGAGGGGAGGGGGGAGAGAAGCCCCGGGGGTGCCTGGCATTACTAGGGCACCAGCAGCCTCTTCTCCCCATCCGGACCCTCCGTCCCCCAGCTGTGCCTGATAGGCGGTTTCTCCGCTTCAGTTCCCACCCGCAGCCCCCCAGGTGGCCTCCACCCTTCCCGGTTCCACGCAGGCCCCCCCCGCTTGCCACCCAGCGCATGGCGAAGGGGCCCACAAATCTTCCCCCCCCATCCGAGCTCCTTCCCACCTTTGTCCAGTTTCTTGTGCTTCTCCAGAAAGGCGAACCAGTCCTTGCCGGTGGCGATTTCCTCGTGCCGCTCGCTGGGGATGTCCTCCTTGCAGGCCGACTTCAGCTGGTCCAGGTCTTCGTTGGTGATGTTCTCGGCCAGCCCCTCCAGCAGGCTGCGGTACTCCGCCATCTCTGCAGGGGAGGAGGGGGCTTAGACCCTGGGAGAACTCCCACCCGGCCGGCAGATGGCGGGCGTTGGGACGGGCAACCCCCCCCACCCTGTCCTCAAAGAAGTGGGTGCTGCGTGGCCAGGCGGGGCATCGTCTGCGGCCGCTTCAGCCTCCTAATGCCTCGGATGGGCTCTGTGGGGTCAAAGCCCCAGGGGGCTTCTGTCCCCCTTCCCCAGCTCCTCTCCTACCTGACTGCAGCCGGAGCGCCTAGCAGGCAGCCGGAGCCCTTCAAAACAGACGGCAAGTGGCTCTGTGAAAGGCTCCCCCCCCCCCCCAAGAGTGTGTGCCGACTGACGGCTGGGGTGGGTCTCTCTGCCTCCCCCCCCCCCCAAGAACAGATTTCTGCATCCCGGCAAAAGCCTGATTTCCGCTCTGCCCAGCGGCTTAGCGATGGGGATTAGAGCGTTTTCATTTGGAAAGGAAGACCACAGGAAATAACGTCCAGACAGAGGCGGCCCAGGATCCCTGCCCGTGGGCCATCTGGCCTGGGATGGGGAGGGAGCGATGGGCTGGGCCGGGTGTGGGTCACGAGAACCTGCCTGTTTTTTGCAAGAGGAAGGCGGCACAAGGACCCCCCCCCCTGGGCAGGGTCCCTGCTAGGCTTCGTCAGCTCCCCCGGGGGGCACTGACGGGATCCCCAGCGGGCACCATCCTGCAAGGGGGCTGCCGCATCCTTAAGACCCCGGCCATGCTCTGCCTTCCGAGCTCTGCGTTCGAAGTCTACGTGTTCTTCCAAGCTCACCCACTTGCTTGGCAGACACTCCTGGGTGGGACCACTGCTCTCCAAGGAGGGCCTGATCAGAAAGCTCAGCACGTGGCTTTCTTACTGGGGGTGGGGGGCTTCCACCCCTCCCTGCCAAGCACAGCCTCTTTTCCTTTGGGGGCTTGGCAGAAAGGCAGCCTGTGGGGCTGATTCCCCCCCCCCCTTTCACCAGCACAGGCAGAACCGGCGAGGCCTTTCCCTGGGGGGCACCCAAATTCCTTTCCCACATAGATTCCTCGGATGTGAGCAGGGATTCTGGAGGCACAAAGGCACTTATTTTCCTCAAAAACAACCCACATCCTTCCCCTCCTTATTTCCCAGACAAGCAGGGCCCAGCGCCCTCTTCACTCTGCCTCGAAATCCAGTGATTTATTTTGCAGAGATAAACAGCAAATAAAAAAAGGTGCGTTTCCAGACAAGAGCGAAGGGCTCTCCTTCCACCCAGCCCTCCCACCGCTTCGTCTGAAAGAGGCGTCTGTTGGAAAGAAAGGCTTCCTCGGGGAGGCTCACCGGGCAAGAGAAGCAGGAAGTGGTGGAAAGCTGGATCTGTAGCTACAGGCCAAGCTATCGTGCCCAGAAATCCTGCAGGCACCGGAGCATTTGCACTCCCAGCACTCCCACCCCCTTTACAGCACTCCTCTTCCTGCCCAGGAAGGAAGACTACGTGTGCCAATGTAAATGCCAGCGCAGTATTGCCAGGCGTGCCACAGATGGCTTGCCTGTGCCTTTTACAGAAGCACCCGGGCACCCATCGTCCCGCTCTCCTTCCAGACCGATGGAGCGGCTACGATTGAGCCAAGGCCAGAGGGGTCCCTGGGCAGCCCGACCCCCACTCAAATGAAGTGCAATGGCCAGGGGCTGTGGGGGCTGCCCCCTTCATCCCTTTGCCCACCAGCCGGCAAACTCTATTGATCTCCACCCCACCCAGGACCCCCATTAGTTAATCTGTTCCTGTGCAATCACCCCCAGGCCTTGGTCACAGCTGCTTATTATCCCACAGCCCCCCTCAAAAGACCCACTTCTGCCACTGCAATATCTCTACTCCTGAAGTTTCCCCCCTCCCCAGAAAGGTGTCGCCTTCTCTGTGCCACGTTTGCAAATTGCTATTTCCCCCCACAAGTGAAATTGTCCTCTTCTCTGTAATTCTGAGGCACCCCAACTTCTTCAGGTACCACCCCCCCATCAAGGCCATGCCCAGGGAGGGGGGGAGACCCCAGAGGCTCCGGAAGAGCCACAAATTCAGCCTCGATTGGGGCTGGTTCCCCCCAGCAAAGGCTGCCCCCCCCCAGAAACGAGCCAAGCCAGGGTCTGCTTTGCTGCTGCCCCCTCCCCTCTGTCCAGTCCAGCTGTTGCTGCACTAGGGAAGTGTGGGGCTGGCCAGCAGGGACCAAGGGCTCCAGCCTGCTCCGTGTTCTCCTGGCTTCCCCAGGAAGGGGGCATCTCTGCCCTGCTGGCGAAAGGCAGCCCCCTTTCCAGATGGCCGACTTGCCCTCCCTGAGAATGAATTGGTGGGGGGGGAGGCTCGCTGGCCCTCTTTTCTTGTCCTTTCAGGGCCCCAAACAACGGCCTCCCCCCCCCGCCCCTTCCTCCGGCCTGCCAGGTGGCAGAAGCCCAGGGCCTGGCAGAGGAGGCTGGGAGCCAACGAGTGCGCCTTTCCCAGGCTCCCGGAGGCCAGGAGAGGCTCGGCCTGGCCCAGCGGAGGGAGGGGACGGGCGGCTGGCAGCTGGGATGGGCAGCTCAAGGCCGGTGGCAGAGCCATGGGTCCAACGGGCATCTTATCACCCATCGCAAAGCACGACGGCTCCCGCGCCAGCTGCTCCCCGTGCCAGCCATCGGCCTGGATTAAGCCTAAGGGGGTCAGGGACACAGGAGGTCGGGTGGCCTCGATCTGGGCCAGATGGGCCCCCTTGCGAAAGCTGTCTTTTGCTGAGGAGGGGGCTCTGGAGCCCCACCTGCAACGCCGCGTAGGGCAGCTTTTCCACAGCCCAGAGGGGCTGGGCCACACTTCCCATCGTCCCCAGCCACTAAGGCGCATTGCCTGTGGGAAGGCTCGGGTGCAAATCCTCCCTCCACTCTGAAGGAGGGGCGCTGAGCAGCCTTGGGCCAGTCGTGGCCTCTTGTCCTGCCCAGGGATGCCAGGGGGAAGCTGGGGAGGGAGCCCCCCCAACGTGGCTCCCCCAGCCGGTCCCTTTAAGGCCCGGAGCCCTTCGGCTTCCCTTCGCTTCCCCTCTTCCCCCCCTTCTCCTCTCCCCTTTTGTGCTCTGCAGGCCAAGGGCCGCTTTGTTCCCCACTTAAGTTATGCGGAGCACGGCGGGAGGAGGGCAGCGAGGCCTGCAAAAGAGGCCGGAGGGCCTTTCCGAATGGGAGGGCAGGGGGGGCTGGAGGGGGCCCTTCCCTTCCTTGGCTCCGCTCTCCTCAGCCAGGGGAGGAACAGGCTTCGTTTGTCCTCCTCCCGCTGTACAAAAGAAAAAGTTTTGCTTTCCAGGCAGTTCTGGAGCTTAAAGTTTGGTTTTCTGCTTCTTTGCAAAGCCGGCCTGCCTTTAGTCAGAGAAAGGGGGTTGTTTATACAAAACGTCCGTTTCTCAGGAAGAAGAAAAAGACCCCCGTCCATTTTGTCCCAGGAGGCTCTCGGTGGACATCCGAGGCCTCTGTGGTAACAATGGCCGTTGACAGATTTTCCCTCAGAAGAAGACAAATCTCCCACTTCCCTTTATTTGCAGGGAAATATCTAGAGGGTCCTCCGGACCCCCCGAAAGGCAGAGATGGCCGGCCATTTGCCCCCCCCCCATGGCAGGAGGAGGGGAGCCGTTTTGAGAAGGACCGGGGGTCTCTTCCCTCAGGGCCGAGGGGTTTCTTCAGCCAGGGCCCTCGCTTTGCACTGGGGGGAAATGACCATTTCTGGAGCAAATTCCCTTCGGCCCCTCGGGCTAAACACGAGGAGGGACAGTCGGTCCTTGAGGAAGGAAGCCCTTTTCCAGAACGGCCTTCTACTCAAAGAAGGCTCCGAGGTGGACGGATCCTCATCTCCAGCCACAAAAGTGTTGCGCTCCCCGATTTCTTTCCCAAACAGGCACGCGGTGCAGAGAGAAACTGGAATTAAAATTAAAAAAAGAGGACGTTTCTCAGACGAGAAACAGAACAGCTGCTGTCACAACATGGCTGCCCTTCAACTCAGGGAGGCCTCAGAAAGAGGGGGAAAAATATATATATATCTTAAAAACAGAAAAAGCCACACAGGCATTTGGCTATTTCTTACATTAGCCAGGAGCAACTTAGCTTTGCTCGATTATTAAATATGGATTAATTTCTGGAAGAAATCAGCTGGCACCAGGCCATGAACTGGACAAAAGCCAGCTGTATTCCTTATTTTCCAAGCATGAGACGGTCCTTTCCCTCCTGCCTCTTAAGGTCTTTTTTTTCTTTGTTAATTCATGACATCTAACTTCGGGCTGTCTTCTCCTGGTACCGCAACCTCCACGAAAGTACAAAACACGATTAAAAGCAATAAAAAACCAATAGCAATCAAAGCCTATCCTGGATGTGCCAAGGCCCCCCAGACGGCTTCCGGCTCATAAAACAGAGGATCTGCATCTCCAAAACAATCTCCAGTTTACTCAGAGGGAACCTTCCTTAATCCGCTTCTCTCCTAACTTGGGGTTTCTAGAGAGGGGTTTTTTTTTATGAGAAAATAGAGGGGGAGATTTATTCACAGTTTTTAGCTCTGCTGAAGGCCGCCCAGAGTTGCTTGCTGGTGGTGAGATGGGAGGCTCTATAAATTGGTTTAACAAGTGAAATAAATAAACCGAAGAAATGCTGCAGGCGTTGACAGGTCCTGCAAACTTGTTTTCAACAGTGGGGAGCCCCACTTGGTCGGCTTGAACCCTATTATTGCAACGAGCCGGTTTGAGCCGAGTCACCCCAAAGGCTAAGCCCATCTGCGTATGGGACCTGCCTGGCCTTCGCTAGGGGTGACATGATGGCAGTCTTTTAATATTTTGAGGGGCTGCCCCAAAGAAGAGGGGATCCACCTCCTCCCCAAAGCACCTGAAGGCGGGACCAGAAACAACGGATGGAAACTAATCAAGGAGAGAAGCAACCTAGAAGTAAGGAGAAATTTCCTGAATCCACGGACTGGCTTCCCTTTGGGAGTTGTGGGTGCCACATCACGGAAGTCTTCAAGAAGAGATTGGAGAGCCATTTGTGTAAAACAGCACAGGATCTCCTGCTCGGGCAGAGGACTGGGCTAGGAGGCTGGGAGAAAAGCAGGGACCCTCTACCTTTCTGCAAGGTTCCCTCGAGGGATTTTTCTGCTCCCTGTTTTTCCTCCTCCTAAGCTTGTTTCCCCCCGGCTGGAAAGTCATGAATTAATGGAAGGACGCAAAGGAACAGGGAGCCCAGCGCATGGCATGGCCAGACACCAAGTCATGCGCCAGAGAATTGCTCTTGGGAGCGCAAGCCGGAAGAGGAACCGAGAGCTGGGATGCAGCCACGCTCGCCTTTCCTAATCTGGTCTGGATTTGCAGCAAATCCTTCCTTTCCAGCTGCTGACAGCTGTGGAGCTGGGTGGGCCCACAGCCAGACCTTGGTGGAAGAGGAAAACACCACACAGTTTAACGTAAACAGCCTCGGTTCAATTGTATGGGAAAACAGGGCTGGGTTCCTCAGTAGTCGCAGACTCTTAAGGAAAATCAAGAAAACACCCAGAAAGGAAGGACTTTTTTCTGATCCTGGGCTGCACTCCAGGAAGGATCCCCTGAAGGAATTGGTTGGGAAAAGGCTGTAATCCTTGCCAGAAAGCTTGGGAGGAAGAGAGACGGGACTGGGAATCCAGAGATATTTCGGATAGAAGACATTCTTTTTGCACCCAGAGCAAATGTGGAAGCTGGAATTGGGACGCTTGGTTAAGGCTCCCGTGGATGACTCACGGCGGATATTAATTGGGACATGGGGCTCCAGGGCATGCCGAAAAACGTGGGGTTGATTTGCCTCTTCGGTGGACCTCGTGGCCTTACAAAAGGGGTGGGGAACGGGCTTCCTGCCTTGCTGACCCCAGAGAGAGCCCCCTTGTAACGCAGAGCAGAGCAAGATCCCTCAGGATCCCTCAGGATTAAGGATCCTTCCCTTGCTGCTCTCTCGGCCTCCTCGTTTGTGAGGTGGCCACAGAGCCCGCAGGAGGAGGCACAACCGCGGGAGCCGTGCCAGAGAGGGTGGGGGAAGAACTTCCTGCCAAAGAAAGCCCACCGATTAAGCCACATCGCTAGGAAAACAACAATGACAGAAGCTAAAGGGGGACTTGCCCACAGATGGGGTTGTCTTGGTGACCACGCAGCCATGAAGGGGAGGGAAGGGCAGCCCCAGTCACACCCCTCCAGACTCTGGGAAGGCCTCTCCATGCAGGGGATTGGGGGGGGGCCTCTGGCACACCCATCTTGCACTATTCTCTGCCTTGCAGGGATCGTGCAAAGGGCTCGCATGCCAGGGTGGGTGCCCGGCCTCGGGGCCGTGCGTGGTTGCAGCACCATGGAAGTCGGTTGCTGCCCCTGGCCTCATGGCAACTGAGGGGAGGAGGAAAGGTGCCCCCGGCCACTGTGGAAAGGCTGTTCTGAGCCAAGCA